TACTATAGGGGCCTTAACGACTAGAATAGGGTTTTGGGATATATTGTACCATAAATGTAATAAGCATTGGTAATCATTCCGGCCCCCATATTATTAGTCTGTTCTCTGGATGTTTGATGGCATGACTTGTGGAGGGTCTGGAGTTTGGGGGTATTCGGTTTCAGATATGTGGAAGCTTCCTGGCTAGCAGGGGCCTTGTAACAACGGACCTGCTTCAATTCTGAGAAGAGCCTTGTTCTTGTAACTTGGCTTCGGGGTAGAGGTTCCGCATCAGCTACGCATGACCTGACAGTGAGGATTGAGAGGAAGGGACGAGCTCGTGCCCAAGTCCCCAAGGGCCGGTTTGAGATTCTCAAGTCGCGCAGTCGGGTAGTGGTCCCATTTGCCACCTGAAGCCTTAATCTTGGACCTGAAGACCTGCAGTTTTCGTGTCCTGCCTCTCGCACATCAGGAACGGCGCCAGCTGAGGCCCCAGTTCAACAGTGTAATTCGCCATGTTGGAGGTGTAGCAGTCGCAAATTTGGTTACAGCTGCTGCTGCCCAGGCTGCCGGTACTATGGCCAGTACTCATTACTATTATTGCCATTGCTATCCATTGCCACCACCACCACCACCACAACCACCACCATTACCGCGACCACGGCCACCACCACCACCGCCACTACCATGCGAAACACGCATGAGTAACACACACGCACACACTTGCCAGCTAGTCTCCTGCATCACAACCACCGCAACCACAACAAGAAATCACTGCATTTGTTCGCGATGGGAAGCTTGACCAGCAGTAGGCGACAGCAGCAGCAGCAGCAACAACAGCATCAGCTACGGCAACGGGTACACCAGTGCTAATCATGATGCTAGCCACGGTGATCACGAGGAAAAAGATCGTCGTAGTTGGAGAACATAGTGAGCAAAAGGTCGATGCATCATTGCCGACACTATCAGGAACCGAGGATCACTACACTCTCTTCCCTTGTGTGAGGTCCTGGGGGCTGGTCCCGAGATTAGCACAAGCGGCAATGGTGGCAACACCATGGTCTACGGTCTGATTGGTTCGGGACCCGAGCTTGAGAGTATCGGCTTTGAGTCGGGCTGAGCCGAAACCGAGTTTCGGCGAAATCTCCTGCAGGACGGCTCGGCCTTGTGAATCGGGCTTTGATTTGGCAGGGAGAAGACAATGTTCAGCGGCTTGTATCTGACAGCTTACCACACCAGAGAGGCTCCTTCCTGCAACACTTATTCATGTCATCATGAGCTTCTAGAGGTACCTTGGTGGTGTTTTCTGAATCTCGCGACAATTTCTGCTTAACGTTGTGGTGCTTGGCCAAACTGCTCTCAACGGCTATGATCGTCCTCCGCCAACCAAGCGGTGCAGCGTCCTCTGCAGTACAAGAAAGCAGCACATATTTCTTTCGACGCCTTGCCAAGGTGGCATTGCCGGAGCAGTGGCTGTTGCTGGCGGAGCATACTACTTCATGTCCGGCGGAAAGAAGAAGGTGGCTTGCAGAGTTCCGGCGTCGAAAACCCAACTATGCGTGCCGCACCACCTACCATGCGAACTCAGTGCAGGAGATCAGCGAAGGCTAACGTCTGGTCCCCGCAGCTTTAGCTCACGATGCCAAGATCTCACTCCTAATCAGGCGTAAGCCAGCTGTATTTGGGGAAGACGCGCATGAGGAAGTCGATCACAGCCCTAACCAAGAACCCAATCACCCAGATACCTTTGCCAGCGGTTTGCAATGATACGTGTGATCATCGGCTTTTTAGCTAGTCTTTCTTTGCTACAGTAGTAGCAGGAGCAGCAGCAACAGGAGTAGTAGTAGTAGTAGTGGTGGTGGTGGTAGTAGTAGTAGTAGAAGTAGCAGTAGGAGGAGGAGGAGTTGTAGCAGAAGCAGTAGCAGCAGTGTAGCACCTGTCGTCGTACTTGTCCTCGTGGTGTTTTCGGTTGAAGTCATTATTGCCATCGTCTTTGCTGCGGCAGTGGTGGCAGAGTCTTGCTGAGTGTCGGAGGGGCCGTAGAATCGCCGTAGAAGTGGGCCGTGACTATGCATTCCATCTCTTCGACGTGACTAAGGGTATATACTATCTCCAGCGGAGTGGTTACATCACTTGGGGGTTTATGTTTTGAGAGGCTAGATTTGGCAATGCTACACGCTTACAGGCAAGACCATTTTAGAAGAGACGGGCAGAACCTGCATTCCTAGTCTGGTTTGCAGTCGAAGAAGTCGAAGCGTGCCGTCGGCGTGGAGAAGGCAAGACCGGAACCCCTTAAACCCTAAATGTAGGACCTTGGGGAGGGCACAGTCCGGCAAGATACAGTTACTTCATCTGTTCTGAACTCTATGTTGCTACGACCTGTCATTCGACTGTCTCTCTAGAACGTTTCACATTGTCAGACTCCGAACCATTTGCCTCGCCTGGATTGTCCGAGTGTGAGCGCCGAAACCCTACATGATCTTTGTTGCTACGAACCATGACTCCTCCCATTAGTTATGTCTCACTTGGCAGACTCCGAACCATATGCCTCGCCTGGATTGTCCGAGTGTGAGCTCCGAAACCCTACCTACAGTCTCTATTGCAGTTCCTTTTTTTGGTTAACCAGTTCTACGGTTAGCATCCTATGATAGAGATTTTGGTTAACTAAAAAAGGAACTTCAATGGAGACTATAGGTAAACCCTAAAGTAGGTGTGCTATCAGAGCGAGCATGGGATTCGGTTTTGAAGCTTTCACCTGGGCCTGCGCCTTGCAGAACCCCACCCGACTTGGTCGCCCTGTGAAGAGCAGTATGGGTGGTTGTCAGAATTAGGGTCCCTTTTTGGGTACCCTAGATATGAGGTGCCGTATTATAATTTATAATAAGGACCAGCCCTCCGGTTGAACCGGAAGGAGGTAAAGAGCAGTGCGGAAACATGCTAGGAGACACGTGCATCTGCAGTGAATCCGCAGGAGCAACAGCCAATGATCGAGGACCGGGGTCAGTTTGATTTCAGCAGATCGACCCATGCTAGTGTCAGAATCCAGGCGTTGAAAGCAACGAAACTACGGAAAAGCAAACCCGGCCAGGTATGTGTTTACCTGTAAACATGGTAAACCTGGTCACATAGTCTCACTCGAGATTTGCCGCCGTCTCTTCTTCCCGATCTATGTTGCATAGGGTTAGGAGTTAAATGCTGCAGCAACGATTGGCAGAAACAACTGGTATGTCAGCTCGGCCACATCTGGTGGTTGAGTGTTTACCCTAAACCCTAAACCGTGACGTTACTCAGTGCACTCGGGGTTTGACAGGCTTTCGAGTTTGGGGTCATCTTTGCTCGAGTCGGGGGAAGGCTAAGGTCTTGTTCATTGGTGCAGATGTCAGGACTCATATGGGTGGTTGTCAAAATTGTCGTCCCTTTTTGGGTACCCGAAATATTAGGTGCCGCATTATATTAAGAACCCAAAAAAGGAACAACCGCTCATACATATACCGATGTGTGTCAACTCGATCTTTCGTTAGCATGAGTTCGGCTTCCTAAGCGACGTTGAGAGGTAGAGCCAGCCTGGCTAGGGTTATCCGAGTATGAGCCTCGACATAGACAGGTTTGCGCGAACAAAGAAAAGCAGGACGTAGTCTTATCAAGAGTTCGATGTCGTCAAGAACAGAAAAATGGACAGTTCCGTGTATAGGCGAATAGTAATCAATACATAGTTTAATGACATAACAAATCATGCTTCTTGTGTTGAGAGAAAGAAAGTCAGGAAAAGAGAGAGAGAGAGAGAGAGAGAGAGAGAGAGAGAGAGAGAGAGAGAGACCTGGCAGGAGGCCCCTGCGCAGCCGGCTCCGTCTTCAAGTGTCGCCGTCACACCGGGCTCTGCTGGCACGGTGTAAAGCAGGGGCAATTCAGTTCAGGCGTTGGGTTCTTATTCTGACGTCTTGTTGAGGTTTGCGATGTCGTGGATTATCGCAACGGGGTTTAGGAGTCGGAGTCGGAGTGTCAGCCCCAGACGGCTGGCATTCAGGAAAGGCGTCAACTCTTGAGACACTGTCCCCTTCGAGAACGCTCTTTGAAGGGCTAAACTGATTCGACCAGGGTGTCGCGCAGTTTGACACACGCACCTGCACCAGCACCAGCAGCACATGCGCATCGGCACACACATTGCTGGCCGAAAGGAGCGTCCATGGCCGGAGGCGTCTGCACGATTTGATTTTGCCCAAGCAATGTCTGTCAACGTAAGGAGCTGCTTCTTTTTTCAACGTGAAGGTCATGCTCAACCTTTGCCTTGGCCTGCATCCTGCAATACAAGCATTGCGATGGGATGGGTGTCAAAGGCTTTTCGGCATAGCTGCGCAAGACGGGAGTGGGGCGTTGGGCTGGCGTCGCTTTCCAGTACCAGTGTATCTACCTGCCGCTTGTTGCGTACAATTTTTGTTCGCGTTGGCTGTGTGACTCTAAGCTATCGACCCCCTTCACTGTCAAGCAGCTGTCCAAGGCTTTCCAGGTACTTCATCACTTGCGTCCGGAACCTGCCTCTCCCCGAAACCGCAGACCCTGGCCAGGCTTTGAGCAGTACCAGGGCGTGAGCATGTATCCGATGATGGGTCAACAGGCCCAAATGACCCCTGTGCCGCAGCTGCTCGTCCTTGCATATGTGGGTTGTTGAGAATCGCTCGGGTTGTTTCTCCTACAGCGGTTGCCACCAGGTTGTCACATACTTCGCCAAGGTCAGCACTGTCGCAACTTGATTCCGGCAATCGTCCCGAGGATTACACTGGTTTGCATCTGATCATCCTGTTAGGTCTTTGTGCTGACGTGTGCTTCTCATATGTTAGAAACCCGAATCTTTTTGTCATGCTTCGGCAGCTTTGAAGCTTGAAGGCCACTTGTTTGATTCAAGTGCTAGCTGCTAGTCTGTCACAACGGACGATATACCGTGACATTTCAGGGATTGGCCTTTTGCAGGAACACTCGGGCTGGACATAGGGTTGGCGTAGGACTCGGTTTGCAATTCTGTACGTCATAATCGCAGCATACCTTCAGTTCTGTGTCCCAGTCAACATCGTCTTCAGTGGTGCATGTGTTCGTGAGAGAAACCCTGAAGCTAGCTGGTTGGAGTAAGGCGCATCTGCGCGTTGGCTGAGGTACTACCAGCAGGTGCCGAACTACCAGCCAATGTACTACCAGTATCCTGCAGCACAGGCCACAAAAAAAATTGAGGGGGAAAGACAAGTGTTAAGGAGTTCAAGCGGCTTATGCAGAGTTCGGGGCCGCGGGCTTTAGGGTTGCAAATTGGCGGCCTGCCAGCCGTAAGAGCGCAAAACCATGAAGCTCCTGCGAGATATGCCCATAAAACCTGTTGGAGAGAGCAAGTAGCTGAAGTAGCTAGAGCATATTGGAAGTACCGTGTAGGCGCACACCTCTTATTGCTCGAAGCCCTGGTGCTGTAGAGGCTCGGTCGCGGGTTGCCCATGAGCGACTCAGTGAAGTGCTAGAGTGCTTTCAGAGATACTATAGGTCCTAAACCCTAGAAGTGAGTCAGAGCACTTCGAACCCGACACCTCGTCTGGTAAGTCCGAGTTGCGAGGTCTTAAACCCTAGAAATGTGCGGAGTTTGGCGGGTTTGGGACTGCTGGGGGAGAGGCTGCTACGACGATGTATTGAACAGCCGCTGGCTCAGACCGAAGACGAGCGTTGAGCCTTAATTATAGTTTCAAGCTGGTGCTGTTTCGTTTTTGTTGCCGGGTCTATGGGCCCATGATACTAAGGGCTGGACGTAGATACCGAGTCTGATAGTCGATACTCCGATGGTCGCTGCATTCCCCTTGATCAGAGACCCTATCATGTATGAATGCCATCTGCATCTGAAAGTCGATGCACCTTTCTTGTCGCTGACCCGGGAATGTCGAGGAGCACCTACAAGCCCCCATAAGGATTTTATCAAGCCACCCCTAACCCTAACCCCTAAATCCCAGCAGCCCTACACCCTAAGTCCCCTTATCCGAAGACTCCCTCTAAGCCGCCAGAGTAGACTCATTGCAGCCCAGGTGCCCCGAACAGGAAGCTTTTGAGCGTAGCTCCGGCAGATGCCTCAAAGGAGTAGCACAGACCGGAGAGTTTGCCTGAGGTGGCGCCAGGCTGGCTTCGAAGAGGTATTTCAGCCTTCAGGGTTGAGGGTTTAGTGATACTGTTGATGAACAAAATCCTGCATGACCCTAAGGACTCCAAACTATGGGAACGATGGTATATTCCTTATAATGGGTAATGCAGGATTTTGTCCATCAGCAGTCAACAGTATGTGTCGAAGATTCGGAGATCGGCCGAAACATTCTTTCAGAACACTGGCATTGTGTCGCATCGTTGTGCTATTTTCCTTGTCGGTCGTCAGCGCAGAGTCCGGGAACTCGGGGGATAGAACGTCAAGGTAAGGCGGTGGTCAGCTTGGGTCGCCTGCAGAGAATGATTTTGCATCTACTTGCTTTCGCTCAGATGGTCCTGCATACAGCCATGGCTCGAACTGTATTTACCGAGACCAGACAGCTTGAAGAAGCCTATGCTGGGACCTGATGGGCCCTTTTACTTTTGTTGTCAGCTGTACGTCAACGCACTGTTCCGCGAAACCCTTCGGAAAGCCTCTGGACTGTTACTGTCACTGTTACCCATACGCCTGCAGATGCGGCAGTATCGTTGAGCTTCCGCATCTGCCTATGTGCTACATGCAGCTTCTTGCAACATCGCATTCCTTGTTTGTGGCTTTCGAGGCAGATGTAGGGTGTCTTGATGACGATGCCGTCAAGAGACAAAACAGCAAGCTTGAACATTTCCCATTCAGTGATATTCACAGCCGGACCGTGTTAGAATCTCATGTGCAATCTTCAGAGGGGCTCTATTTAATATCTGTGTGTTGGACTGAAGGGTTCACAGCTGCGGTGTCAAGGACGGCGGTTGCATCATCGGGGGTCAGAAGCTGTAATTTGGAGCTTCGGGCAATAAGTGGTGTGTCACGACACGTCCTGCAAACCTGTCACACTCTGACATTGTGGCGGCACGTCAGGTGCGCTTCGGTGATTCAAAGAGCAGATTCGAACATGCCTCGAGTCTTTATGTCGTATATATGTGTTTCGCAGGCCGTTTCCATTAGGGCAAGAATCTCTGCGTGAGTCCTGCGCCCTGCACACTGCCCGACCTCGCCTTGGCGGATCTGCGAGGAGTCTTGGACACAAGTCGGCTTTTAAAATGGGCGACATAGATACTGACTCGTCGCAGAGGTAAGTCTTGGGCTCCTTCCAGCAGCCAGTTTTATGATAGTGTGTAGGTTTGTGTGTCGGTGCATACTGTTCAGCCGACTTGCCTGACAGGGCACTACTCTCAACCAATCAGTGGTGTTGCGCTGGCGCACACCATGTGCTTACAACAACACCCACGTGTCGTATGAAGGAGTTTCCCTGTTGAAGCACATGTACTAGCAGTGCAAATAAGCATAGCCATCCAGGACTCAGGAATTCAAATCCACACTGAGTTTTGCTGGCTCCATTACTTTGCAGAGACAGTAAATCCAAACACGCTCGCAAGAGAAACCTGCTTGCGCCAGCCTGGACCTCGGGCTGTGCCGACAGAGTCGGCTCTAAATCTTACATCCTAGGCCTTTTCGACCCTCGACCATCTACTAGGAGCCGAAATTCTCTCAGCCAGGTGAGAGCGATGCTTCGCGGCCTTTGCATTGTCCTTGCCTTGAGTGGAGCCGTCACCGGCCTTGCTACCGGGACTGCAGCATGCTTTTTTTTCCAGTAGTTGTGTATCCGGCCCGCTGGACTTGTTCACCACTTGCCGTCATCAACTGAACAACACCTGTACCTAGTTGGTCGAACTACTCTTTGCAAAAACCGGCCGCTGGATCGATTGCAGAACGAGCTTGGCGTCAAAGGATCCGAAAATCGCAGCAAACTGCCAAATCCTCCACAAAGCAGAACATGCCATCTTCGCAGGCACACACAGGCTCAAGTCTACAGCTTGAGCATGTTTGAGCAAACGATTCCGGGGTGGCGGTCATGTGATGTATCGGCTGCGGATTCGCGGGACTGCTTTTTGTTCTATCGCACAATAGACCTGCCAGTATGTTCACCTGCAGTCCCACTCAAACCTTCCAACTCTCTAGCTCACTAGCTCTGACCACTGAGGCTGACACTTCCGGGGTTCCGAGCGTACCATCTTGCGCCAAGATTGGCGTGGCATACTCGGAAGACCGGGCCCCTTGCGCAGCACCGAGCTGACTTAAGTTTCAGATCCGGTTCGTCACAGACTCAAAGCAGCTTGGCCCACAGCCCGCCGTACTGTCGCCTGAAGTGTTTAGCGTGCGCGTTTTTGCCTGTCGCAGTGTGTTGTGTGGTGTTGCGCATCCAGGCTGCTTTTCGAAGATGAGGGCTGGACCTACTTGCACACCGCACCGAGTACTTTCGATTCAAGTGGAGCCGAAGCAAAACAACATAAGCTCAATCCAGTCTCTGGCCTTAGTTTCAACCTAGCGAGCTGGCCTTATGTATACTCAGAGGATTGGCCAGACACACAAAAAACTTATCAAAAAAACACGAACCAAGAAGCTATCAGGCGAGTACAGACATGCAAGCTACTCCCGTTCTTCACACCGGCCTGTTGCGTAGAGGTAGCGGTGTTGCAGTGGGTTCAGAGTGCTCAAAACAACGAGTCGGGGCTCAGGGTGTGCGTAGTGTAGAAGGCTTTGAATTTAGGTTTAAGTATGAGCTTGGGGGGTTTGTATCGAATTTCTATACCCTATAGACCCGAAACCTACCGGTTTGGCACAAAAGCCTAGAGGACACAGCCCGTTCTCTGCCCAATGGTGCCTACCTCGCAGACGCCAAGATGTGCCAGCAGCTGCTCGGCAGCTCCAATCCCTCCCTATACTATTTTGGGGCCTTCCTTAGGGGACTCATAGTACAATGGGCCCCAAAGACCTTTTCTAATTTTTTGAGGCTAAGGCCCCTATACTCATCCGTCCTGTCATCATCCCTGAAATAGATGTTTGTGCTGCTTCAAGTTAGCGGCTTGCTCTGGTAAACAGATGTGTTTTTACAAGTCGAAGCTGAAGCGTGAGTTTTGATCGACTGTGGCCGAGAACCGGGGCAGTGGAACTCGGGTTGAAGGAACCCCGTGCCTCTTTGCAACCATAACTGATCTCTTGGTTCTGCTTGAAGAGCTGAGGTCTCCACATTTAGCGCAACTGTCTCCTTATGGGCTTGTTCACAAACAATCATGGGGCCGCTTACGAACCGTTGGCACTCTAATTTTTGTTGAGAAAAGTGTGTTAAAGCGCGAACTCAGCCCTGATCCTGATGTTTGCTTGCAAGGAGTTGCGAGGTGAAACTTGGCATGCAGATGATCTGGAGCTGTTCCGGTGGTTCAGTAGCCTGGTGAAGGCTGTTTAAGCGCCTTAGACATGCTGTAATCAAAAGGTCAGTTCGAGATGGCAGCAGGTTTGCATTCACAGCTCATGCGGCAGCTGAACTTCAAGTCGATGTTTTTTCTGTCGGGCACCGGGTCGCATTAGGCTGAGGTCTCGCTCTCATGCAGACACGCATCCTCGGGCTTCCGACTCCCGACTCTTCGGGTTGTCTACCCTTGACTGTAACAGAGATACCTATAGATGTGTTGGTGCCACATGCTTCGGCATCCTGAGACGCGAGACACAGACCAAGACACACTGGGTCCTCGGTATGCCCCATCTATCATTACAGTTATAGTTTGTTATATTTGTTCTGGTCTGGGAAAATCAAGAACCTAACCGTATCTTAAGCAATCTAGTGGAATTCTAATCGAATCTAACCTGAGTATAGGCTAGTCTAGTCTCATTTAACATAACGCGGCCTATGCCAGAAGTATATTCTTTTCTGGCTGGTCTGTTCTCTCATATGATGTTATCTCAGAGAACATCCCTGACCAACAGCCGAGGATGCTAGACTGCACCCACTTCACTTGGAAGGAGGACTCCTTCCCTGGCGGTTCTCAGAACTGCACTTAAGTTGTCCAAGGCCCCGAATGTCTGACCATCAGCAAAGCAGGATCGGGGTTTCGGATGAAGTTTGTTTAGTAAGGTTTGGGGTCAAGGGCTAGTTAATTTCGACTTCCAGTTGGAGTGGGATTTCATGGTCCGGGTTTGCTGCAGTATTCCCACATGTCTAGCGCTTTCATGGAAACTCGCAAGCCGGGCGAAGCCGGAACAGGGGGGACCCTCCACACTTGGCAACACCAATTATCGCTCCCAGCCCCAGCCCTAAGAGTTTCCGAAGATCAAGGGTACCTCATTTTGGGGTTCTTATAATCGGGATCCTACTATGAAGGGTACTATATTAGGGTCCCTTATTCTTATAGGGATCGTACTTTTCAGGGTACTATATTAGGGTCCCCTATTCTTATAGGGATCCTACTATTCAGGGTACTATATCGGGGTCCCCTCTTTTCGGAAACTCCCAGCTTGCCTCACCTTAAGCTGGGAGTAGAGCGGCCAATGACGCCCAAATGCCCGCACCCACCGTCCGACAGCACAATGGCGAAGACCATACTAGGGGTTTAGGGGTTTGGGTTTTGGGGTTTAGGGGTTCAGGGTTTAGGGTTTTGGGGTTTTGGGTTGGGTACGGCCCCCACTCAGTAACAGTTGGATAATATTCATAATATAGATATATAAGGCCCTTAATAATGGTCCTATTATAGACTGTTACTGTATGGGGGCCGTACCCAACGAAGACCTGTCCAGCGCAAGAATCATCGTAACTGAAGCCCTAAAGCATAAGTAGTGATGATGATGCGTTGAGGGCTAGAGCCAGGAACACTGTGGCCACTTAGGATTGCTGGAACACAGAGAGAATCGAAAGGGCTTTAATCGCAAGTACAATTAGGGGTAGGATGGTACAAACAATTGATTATCGTAAGGATGAGTATGTATCTGGAGCCCGAGGGCCCTAAAGTACGAAAGTCCGAAGCGGACGCCACTCATTGCCGAACAAACGCTGCAAACCCTAATCCACACATCCTAAGCCGTAAGCGCCAAAAGCCCTAACTCAAAAACCTTTCTTTCTAAGGTGCCTGCTACCTCTTCAAACAACTGGGCAAGGAGGAGCCTGATGCAAAGGCGATTAGTGGCCCGAAGGCTGGACTTGAGGATTTGAGGGGTTTGGAACGGGTCTTCAGGTTTTGAAGCAAGTTCTCCCTTGTCAGTGTTGCATCCTACTTCCGGTGCCCCTCGCAACCTCCCAACATTTGACCCCCACAGGGTTTCCGTGCGCTTGCCAGGCCTGTGTTAGCTCGGAGGATGCGAAGGTCGCTCAGGACTTTGAGAAGCATGCTTTCGGGGAAGCCCTGAACTCGCATACCCTGAGCCCACAACTCAGGTAGTTGTCATATCTTGGCAGTTGGCGTAGCGCAGTCACAGTGCGGCCACCTATACAACCAGCCGCGTAAGCGGGACTGTTGCATCTGCTTCGCCGTGAGAAAGCTGAACAGTTTCAAGTCGGAGCAGGCTCAAAGAGCAACGAATGTACATATTCGATGTTTATATCTATGCATATGTGTATATATACATGTGTGTAGGTAATTACGCCAAATATGAACAAGTAAAACCTTGCATACCTGTACCTGTTATGCTTTGCACTCATGCATACATCGTCAAAAGCAGATGCGAAGGTTCGTCAGCCGTTGCACAGCGATGCACTTTCTCGATCTTTCTCGACAGTAATATTATACCCCCCGAGTACGGACGGTTTCAGGACCACGGTCAAAGTATTTTCCCTCAAGCGCTGGCGCACCATTTTTTCCTCCAAGCACTGGCGGATTCAAGGCGATGGCTTCCCCCAGTTCAGAGATAGAATTAGAACCCGGAATTTAGGGCGTGCATGTTCCAACTCTCTGGTTTCCATTGTATCTATGTCACATAGCTGCAGATATGTTCATATGTTTACATGTACATAAACATTTACATTTGCATAGAAAGTATACATATACATGTACATGCACGTGCACCTGTAAGTGTACATGTGTGGGGGGGGGGGGAGGTTTACAGAAAACCAAGGGACATAAATAAGCGAGTGGATCTTTAAATACACAAGGTATCGGTGTATGTTTGCATATATGCACGCATACATACATACATACTTGCATGATGTCATGCATACACACAGACACACACACACACACACACACACACACACACACACACACACACACACACACACACACCTCTCTCTCCCTCTTCACTCCCCCTATGTTCTTTATGGCTGCCTCATTTACAGTTGCTTGATTCGCACGAGCGTGCTTGTGTACAGTTGCCTATGCGTGGGTATATCAGTCGCGAGTACTTCGTAGCCGCGCAGGCATCTGGTGGATTCATTGCAATTACGCGGCTGATTAGTGTCAAAATATAGTCATAAGCTGTCATCATACAGACCTGGAAATTCCCGTGAGACCTGAATGCCACTTGGCTGCTGGATGCAACTGCGCTACGACGATGCCTTCAGTTTTAGAATAGATTGAAAGGGCACGCTGTCATGATGGGGCCTTCCGTGCAATTGCCGACAGTGCAAATGGCTGAGACAGAGCGCGATTTTGCCCGTTAAGTTTCGTTTCTCGTCCTCAGTGACCGTCCGGGTTGTGTTGCGTAGGCACTGGACCAAGCCAGGAAACGTATTTGTATGTCCAGTCTGCCCCATCGTCTCACTGGAAGTCATATGTTCCCCGCATCCTCGCAGCCGCACCCCTGGGAGGACATGCCAACCTTGCCACCAGTGGCAGTGATAACGCCGACGGTGAAGCCGGTGCACTCGCCTTAATTCGTCGGACATGTTGTTCCATGGCAAATGCCTAGACTAAACTAAATATCAGCTTGGCTGATGTCAGTCCTGGCATCCACAAGCACGCAACCGCTGACCAAGGTTGATGTGATACAAAACAATATCTGCTCCCACTTTTCAGTTCACCAACCGAAATCATGTTGCACCTGGTCATACAGGCAAGCCGTTGAATTTGACATAGCAGACACCCCAGTCTTGTCCCGGTACTCCGAAAAAGCCACCGGCCTGCGCATACACCCTGACATGCCAGGTGGCAATTGAAGGATCCGCGGATGCAGTTGTTCTTGTTTGCGATTATGTTGAGTTGTGAGCAAGTTGTGTGATGCCTTGAGTACCACATTGGACCTGCCGGGCTTAGTATCTTGTCGGACCTTCATGAACAGGCAGAAAACCCGCAAGTGCACCCGTTCTGTGGCAAGCGTAGTAGCAGTGCCTGCCTGCCACGCTCGAATGCCCAGCCCAGTTCAGAATCTAGCAGTCGGCTAAGCTCTGACCCCCCTTGACAGCTGCAAGGAACGGACGCCACTGTAACTGGGCAGTGAAGTTGGGGTGGCTGCATCAAATCGAGATTCAAAGGTGGATGCCTGCTTAAGAAAGGAAGCTCAAGCTTGAGAGATTTATGCCGATGGTGCTTCGGCTGGAAGGGCTTCCTGACAACATGCAGAGTCATGATGCATGCGATGCTGTTGCTACTACTACTACTACTACGACGACGACGACTACTACTATGCTACTATACTACTATACTACTATTCTGCTACACTACTAGACTACTACTAGTACTACTACTACTACTACTACTACTACTACTACTACTACTACTACTACTACTACTACTACTACTACTATTACTACTTCTACTACTACTACTACTACTACTACTGCTACTACTGCTACTACTACTACCACTACTACGACGACGACTACTACTACTATGCTACTATACTACTATACTACTATTCTGCTACACTACTATACTACTACTAGTACTACTACTACTACTACTACTACTACTACTACTACTACTACTACTACTATTACTACTTCTTCTACTACTACTACTACTACTACTACTGCTACTACTGCTACTACTACTACTACGACGACGACGACGACTACTACTACTATGCTACTATACTACTATACTACTATTCTGCTACACTACTATACTACTACTAGTACTACTACTACTACTACTACTACTACTACTACTACTACTACTACTATTACTACTTCTTCTACTACTACTACTACTGCTACTACTGCTACTACTGCTACTACTACTACTGCTACTACTACTACTACTACTACTACTACTACCACTACCACTACAAGTTCTTCTTGTGCCAGTACTTCTTCACCTGCTCCTGCTGCTGCTGCTACTACTACTACTCTACCTACTACTGCCTTCTGCGGCTGTTGCTGCTGCTAGCGCTGCTATACTACAGCCACCTTTGCATGACGACTGCCGCGGGTTCGTATGTGAACATGTTACTTCATCATACGGGTGAGAGCCAGGATGCCATTATTATCCTTGTTAGCCGTAGACAGAAGTCTAGCTCGCCATTTTAAGTGGGTGCAACCCGCGCCCCACTTGGGCCAAAACTGGATTCGCGGGTTACAAGGCCGACGTTGAGGCCCAGGCCGTGGAAAACACCCCAAATTTTGCTTGCCAAGGGCGGAGATGATCATGAGGTGCAAAGGGCCTGCTTATAGCTCAGGGGCGCTAAGGGCTTATGGGCTGCTGCCCAAGTAAGTCTTGAGGGGCTCAGGTGGCAAGCGTTCAGGCCTGCAGCAGCTTTCGTTGTTGCCTCAGTCCAAGTCATGTCTTTCTCTGCAGGTGATACTTCGCACATGGCCAGCATGCCTTCCGTTGCAGTAGAAGAAGCACTGGAAAGGTTCTAGTGGCGATAGGTTTTTCTGATGTGATTTCGGCCATCGTTGTTGCAGTGCTCCAAACTAACCTGAAATCGCAGACTCAGATTATCGTGGTGGTGAAAAGGCCTCTGCTTCATGTTCCCGGCTGCGGAGGGGTTCGAGGTTTAAGATGCCCAATATTACATGCACATTCGCTTCATGCTTCTTCTCGCAAGTACATGGCAGGCTTCTTCGTGCTGCAGCTTCGACACCCGACGGGTCCGAAGATCTATAATTACCTGGATTCCGACACTCCAGAACCCGAATCCTGTGCGTTGAAGAAGCCGATCAAACCCTTCACTTGCAGACCTTGGGCGCAGCTCCTGCCGCAACCGGGGGCGGCAGCAACATGATGACCACTGCGCTGGCCGGTCGGGACCTCAGCGAGTTGGAGGGGGCTCTGAGGAATGGGAGGCAGTTTCAGGATTGAGGCATGTAGGTAGGTCCTTATCGATTTCAATTACTTGGCCGGGGCAGCTTGAGAGCACAGGCTCATTCATAGGCTGTTTTCGGGACTATAGAAGTTTGGCAGTGAGTGCCACGTCATTCATTCGTTGTCCGCTGAGGGCTCTGCGGGTTTCGGTTTAGACTCGGCAATGTAGTAGCGACCATCTTACGTCCTGGTAAAAGGGCAGCATTCTGCGTAAACAACGGAAACTCCACTTCAGAGCCCTCATGTCAAATCTGTAGCAAAACTCAGACTCTTGGCATACGTGTCGTCGATGCTGCCAGGAGAGTTTTAATTTGGGTTAAGGAAACGTTGAAGCTCTTAGCTACTCTATGCCCCATAGGTAGATCCCAGAGCTTCCTAAACAGCCAGCAGAGGTGGTGCCGTGGCCGCCATTGGCATTGGGGGGGTTGCCTACTACTTCCTCGCCGGAGGAAAGAAAAGCAAGGACGCATCTTGAGACTTCATCGTAGGAGGGTTACGGGTTTCACGATTGAGGCCCCGAGTTGCTGCCTGCTAGAGCTCCCTCACGCTAGAGAGACTGGATCACGGCCCACCTCTGAAAATGGTTGCTGTGAATCTCGCTCCCTGCTCTCCGCTGCTACAGTCGAAGAAGAAGTCGAAACGCGGCGTCGGTGTGGAGCGAGCAGCAGAGGCAATCTCAAGCATTTGGACTGGCTTGTGGTTTCGGGTGCCGTGGGGCTGCTCCGGGTCGAGACTTGACTGGCTTGCCTAAGAGATCAAATCCCATGCGGGAGGACGAGTTGTCCTGTAGTCTATGGCTATGGACCCCACACAAAAGGCTCTATGCTTGTAGGGCACGAAGCCCTGCAGGCCTTTCTTTGTCAGACCTCCCAATGTCTTTGAAGCAACCCGTCTGCAGGCGATGATCGCGGACGAGGACATGGGGCCTGGGTTCAGGATGATTAGGGTGAAGGGTTTAGGGTTTAGGGGTACAGCAGCAAGAACGGTTCCAAAGAAGTGGTACTCTTATTGCGCTACCAGCAAGGAAATTTAGTGTTGCTTGTGGTGAGGTCCTATTCTCTCTGATGCCTTTGGGGGGGGATCGAGCTTGAGGCCAGCTGTTGATTTAACTCCTAGCACAATGGAGCATGTGGATTTCTGCCCAGCCTTCTGAAGGCATCATAACCATTGTCATTATTATTACTTGTTATTGTTCCTACGACTACAGTAGTATTACTATGACTATGACTGCCTCAATTTGGAGTGTCTGAGCCGTAAGAGTTCTACCACCCGTCGAGCCCAGGTGATCCCAAAGCTTGGGCTCTAAAGCTTCAACCCTCAACTCCTACGAGTGTGCAACCATTTTTCTGTCAAATCCTGCAGCCCGGAATCACTTAAAGCTCATAATCATGTATATACACTCTCCCTCTCTCCATATCTATTTATCTATCTATCTATCTATCTCTCTCTTTCTATATATATATATATATATAGTTATATATAAACACACTATGTATATACACACACAGATAAATCGATACATCGAGCCCTATAAGAGTGATTGAAATGCTCCCTGTCAAGCCGGATGAGAAGGCTCCAGCTCCTGCAGCTCCCGCTCCGGCAACAGGCTTTTTGGTTTAGGGGTTTAGGGTTTTTAGGGGTTTAGGGTTTTTAGGGGTTTGGGGTTTTTAGGGGTTTGGGGTTTGGCTTTCTGGTGTTGGGGCTGCAGCCCTTTGGGTTTTTGTTCAGGGTTGAAGGTTGGATTGAGTGGTTAACGGCCTGAGGCGTTGGGGATTCAGAGCCCAAGAGCTTTGGGGCTCGGGGGTGTCAGACGTTAAGTAAAGTGTGGGGTTCTAGCTTGGCCGAGAGGAAGAACAAGAAGCGAAAGAAACTAGGTCCTGAAGGATGGCTCATACTTGGTGTTTCGGGTTGATGTTTTCCCGGAAACTACAGGAGTTTTTGGGCTGTTCATCTGATACTGGGCTGGCTCAGGCGGCTTGATGTAGATTCAGCTAGAAAGTTGATCGATCTTTGCAAAGCAGATCTCATTTGGTTCGCTTTACCATCGCTAGTTCTGCTTTTGCAACACAGTCTGCAGCGTATTCAAGGCATGTTGGTGGCAGTCTTGCTTTCCATCTCCGGTACCTCTGATGTGGGCTTTCCCAGTGAGGCACAACTTACACTGCTTGGGTTGTCAATGACAACCAGGAGGGCAAAGCAGTTCCCTTGATGTGGTCAGGCTTTGAGCAGTACCAGGGCATGATGCACCCCATGGGCCCGCAGGGGCCCATGACTCCTGTGCCACAGCCACTTGTCCAGCGTTAAGATGAAGAATAGCGGTATTCATAATATCAATGACTGATACTATGAGTAGTTTTGTTATGAATAATATTATTGGTCAGCAGGTGGTCGATAGCGACTCTGACGGGGTTTATGTTGTGCATGAGAAGTTGTGGTCGATCAGGCTAAACCAGTCGCCGTCCTTTATCAAACAGCTTTGAATCGTTCGGCAATGAAGACCTGAATGCTACAATCCCCCTACTCGCGGAAGGAACTTGGTTCAAGGAAGGCCTGCAGATTCGGATTTATTATTCGGGGAGTGGGGTGAGACTCTGGCGCTCCTTGGTTGTTAAGTTGGCTAAGTGAGCCCCGATCAACCTTGTTGTGCTCCCTGTTCAACTGATCGTCGGAGATGAAGCAAGTTACAGTGGTCCAGACGTCAAGGGGATCCAAAGCTACACGCGACTGCAAGAAAGGTTCTATCAGCAAGTGCCAGCCTACCAGCCTGCCACGACTGCCGCGACCTACACCTATCAGTACCCAGGGATCCAGGCACCGCCTCTTTCGGAATCGTTTAGTTGGACATGCAGGTGGGGATGTACACGACCTGGAGACTTCGCACATTTTGGCACATGTCCTTAATAGCTTCTACCTGAGCGCAAGAAGCGCCAGGAAAGGTATTGCGAAGATCTGTCGTTCCAGTAAGTACAAGCTGTGTGTGGACCTTCCTTCATCAACTTCATCAACGAGTGAACCGGGGACGCACGCTAAACTTTCAGCTTCTTTGGCTTTGCCTGGAAGCAAGCTTATGAGTTTCAGGAACTGCGAGCACATACTGCCCCAATACGGTCAGGAGGATGTCCTCGACCCCGAAAGCCGTCGAGCATGCACTGCAGAAGTCACATGAGTTCAAAAGCTACATCTGCAGTCTCGGCTCGGCAACGCACACGGAGAGGTTGCGACTCCAGCGCCGATTGCTTAAGCAGCAGCCGCCCGGCTGCTTGTGGTTTCGTTTTTCGAAGGAGTCAGTCCATTCTCGCTTTTGGGGGCTATTCCGGTTTTCCTGTAACCCGCAAAAAAGTTTTGGCAAAAATCAGACCGGCCGAATCGCTGCATGTTCTGTGGTACGGCAACGTGGAGGCTTCTGTCTGTAAGTGGCCCGAACACCCATGCTCGGGGCTTGGAGTTCCTCGGCAGCTTGTTGGAGGACACAGACACGAGCAACTCCGAAGGCAAGGGTCCTTGGCCCAAGCTCCGAACCATAGACCTGGGCTCCAGTTCTTGCTGCATGACGAGCCCATGACCAGCCAAGGTTTCCTGAATCTTTGCTGCAGCTTCCCTCAGGCGGTGCCCATTCAAAGGAGTGGTGCATGCCGCAAAGCTTGCCGAAAGCGATGTTTAGCCGGACGAGGTTGTGCTGTCAAAATGTAGGCCTGCGCAAGACGAGTGATGACGATGGCCGCTACCGCAGCCACTCGACGACCGCAGCAGCACCAACAACTACGACAACAACAAGACGAATAAAAAGAATAACAACAACAGCAGCAACGACTAGAAGCAACTACTACAACGACGACCACGACGACCACGACGCCGACGACTACGACGACGACGACGACGACTGCTACTACTACTCCTTCCCCTTCCCCTACTCTCCCCGCTACTCCTCCTGCTTTTGTTTTTGCCAGTGCTCGTGCTCCTACTCCTCCTGCTGCTGCTGTTGCGACTGTCACTACCGCCATTTTGCTTCTGCTGCTACTAGAGCGACTGCCACTTTTGGTCTTACTGCTGCTGCCACTGTTCCTGCTGCCTCTGCTAGTGCTGCAACAGCTGCTCCTGCTACTCCGACTGCTACGAGGTGTGCGGCACTTACTTGTGCTGCTCTTACGGCTGTAAGGGACTACAAGTTCTCCACATCTATTTCGCGTGGATTTTCGGAGTAGCTTCGTCGGTGTGGCTTTGCTGTTGCTTCCTGTTGAAGTATTGGTAGCTCTAGCACAGACACCATTTTGGTATGTGCGCATTGGCGGCCGTGCCAGAGGATCCCCCACCCTTATTGAAGCCTCCATGTCCGGTTGAGATCGTATCGGCAATCTCTGCAATTCCTTCCTGTCGCCTCGACCGTTCCGGGCTGGGGCCTTCATTGCACGATTGTTGGTGCTTTACAGTTCGCTAAGGCGGGCCCGGAACAGTTGACAAGAGTGGTGTCCGAGATTGGATCGGGCCCTCTAGTTGCACACCGGTCAAAGAACCCTTGCCCGATTCTTCTTCGCCAGCCTTCTGACCGTCTTCTCCAAAGCTTGGCTTGCCAGCTAGGCTTCGCTGGTTCATGTCGTGCTGGGGGGCTGGACATAGAAGTCGGGCCTGCCTTCCTAGAGATTTGTGGCGAACTGCTGATGAAAACCAACCTTGCCTTTCCAAGGCGAGCTTGCCATGATAGCTCAAAACCACACCTCGGGGTGACGTTTCTGGACATCCTTCTGGTCCATGTTCAGGTCTGTTGAGGATCCGACCTAGCCATAAAGACACTATTCTGTGACAGCTGCTCCTGCATGCAGCTCCGGCCCAAGCTGTTTTAAGCCTATTGCATCTTTATCTCTGATGCCGAGATCATCTCTTTCGGCCTTCATCCTGCTGCTTGGAGCACTTAGCGCCTGCCATGGAAAGCAGATCCCGGTAAGAAAGTTGAAGGCAACAGCACCTTAGAGCTCAAGCCGCGGACCCAAACCCAAAGCCCCCAAATGCAAAGCCTACGCTCCAAACCAGACTACTGAACATGCCCTCCGCTAGGTTGGCGACCCATGCTACCGGAAGTTTGCTTGACAATTTCGAGTGGCTGAAGCAGCATGGTGACGAAGCTCTTGAGGCCTCCAAGGATTGGATTTACGTTTTCGGCTGGGCCTTTTTGAGATGTGTTGCGGTTTAGGATGTTGAAGATTTTGCAGCTCTTACAGGTGTGGAAGACGTGGGAAGAATAGACTTGGGCAGGAGTTATAGAGGCTTCGAGTTCGAGTCTTGTACTACTGCCTTTGTTGACATTTCTGGATACATTCGCAAGACAAGCAGCCTAGCTGTGTTTGTAAACTTTAAGGACAGCTTCGCCGGCTTCTCCACAGAACGGAACTCAGCCATCCCCTCACCGGCACTATCAGTCTAGTGCCTATTCAATATACTAGGCACATACCTGCCATCCTGATTTTCAGATCACGGGTACAGCTTGCTACTGTGATTTTGCGATCATTACCGTGCTCTGCTGAGTATGGCGTGTCGTCAAATTTACGGGCAGAATCTGGTGCCTCGAAATCCCGACAGCTGTTGTCTTGCAATGTGGACATGATGAGTCACTACTAGTCGGTCTTTCGTCCGTAGTGCTACCATAGTAACAAGTGAAGCGAGTAATAGATTCTTCTTATGGCGTGCAATACAGGTTCATTGAGACATGGATGCTATCTTCCAGGCTTTCCACGCTAGCTTATCTTGTGATTGTGATTGCCGTTTGGCTTTATTTGGCTTTGTACAGATTGTTACATCATCGGCATTGGCAGTACCACCCTTCCTGCGCTCAAGATTGACGCTGCTGGTTAACTTGTGCCTTCTCACTGTCCCTGGGACTGTATCAGGTTAGCATCACGACTTACGAGTACAGCGACATCATTGCAAACATTACGAGCGTGCCTACTACTCCGGCTGTCATTAGATATCGTATACGTTGGACTCTGTGAAGCTTTGTTGGAACTACTGACTGCATGTAGCAGAACTTGTGGTAGCTGCCGGACTTCCTTTGCCAGGCCGCCGCACATTGCCAGGACGTCGTTGTCCAGCTGTCGAAGCTGTCCGAGCACTGCCGGGCCGCTTTCCTGAGCTCTGGGGAGCAAAAGCCGACCAAGGTTTAGGGCAAGGGGGCGAAGGATTCTAGGTCAAGGGCTTAGCCTAAAGTTTAATGTTCGAAGTGAAACCGAAGAACCCGAGCGCCGTGCGCATGCAGCAATCATGCGTTTTGAGCACCCTGGCGGGACATGAACTTCGCCACACTTTGAGCAACACAGCTTTTTGAAGTTGCTGCGCGTCGGGATCATGCAGCGAAAGGTGTCGAACCAGCTTGAGAATTTCGCAGCAGCACCCTGGCTTACCATATGAGATAGCCGGCAGTACCCGTCTGCTTGCTTGAGCAACGTTGGGGTTCTAGACCGGCGGAAGACCAGATCATCGCGAACTTGCTGTTGTTCAGCTGCTGCCACCTCTGTTAGTTCTACCGCCGCTGATTGTTATTCCTACTACTACTACTACTACTACTACTACTACTACTACTACTACTACTACTACGACGACGACATCTACGACTAGTCGTAGTCGTAGTAGTCGTCGTCGTAGTAGTAGTAGTAGCAGTAGCAGCAGTAGCAGTAGCAGTAGCAGTAGCAGTAGCAGCAGTAGTAGTAGTAGTTGATAGTCGTAGCCGTGCTGCTACTACTACTACTAGCACCACTACTACTACTACTACTACTACTACTACTACTACTACTACTACTACTACAACTGCTGCTGCTAGTACTACCACCACTACTACTACTACTACTACTACTACTACTACTACTACTACTACTACTACTACTACTACTACTACTACTCCTACTCCTACTCCTACTCCTACTCCTACTCCTACTCCTACTCCTACTCCTACTCCTACTCCTACTCCTACTCCTACTCCTCCTACTCCTACTCGTACTCCTACTCCTACTCCTCCTCCTCCTCCTACTCCTACTCCTACTCCTACTCCTACTCCTACTCCTACTCCTACTCCTACTCCTACTCCTACTCCTACTCCTGCTGCTGCTGCTACCGCTACTGCTAGCGCTTGGACCATTGCTGCTGCGGCTCTTACTGCTGCTGCTGCTGCTGCTGCAGCTGCTGCTGCTGCTGCTACTGGCGCTACTTTTTACTACTAACTACTGCCCTACTAACTCCTTTCCCTATTCCTACTGCTGAAACTACTACGACAACTATCGCGACCATGACGACGGCCACCAGTACTGCTGCTACTTCTGCTGCTGCTGAAGCTGCCAGTAGTCGTCGTCGCTGTTGTTGTTGTTGTTGTTGCTGTTTTTCTTGTCAATGTGGTTGTGGTTGTTGCTCCTGCTGTTGTTGTTGTTGTTGTAGCAGCAGCCGTAGTAGCAGCAGTGCCGTAGTAGCCAATGCGACTGCCATGTTGAAGATAACGATGCCGGCGACGACGACGACGTCCACGATTACGACTTCGACGACGATGACTGAATGACTAATTGACGACGACGAGAACGGTTGCTGCAACGTCCAGCTGTGTCTTTTTGGGACCACTCTTTACTAGCGTTTCCATTCCTAGCATTCAACATGTTTGACGAGACAATGGCCTTGTCATTCGTCTGGTAAAGTCCTATATCAGTAACTGATTTTCAATTGCTGTGGGCTGCACACCCCATGAAGCTGACACCGGTATGAGCAAAAACGGGCCTTGTAACAAGCCTGCGCACGCAGTCCACGCCCTACTGAAGGCTGACCGAAACTGACCCTTGACCAGACCAGGGAGCCCCGATAACAGCTCCGTACCTATAGTCTCCATTGTAGTTCCTTTTTGGGGTTAATTACCCTATAGGATCCTTAATATATATTTGGTTAAACCACCAAAAGGAACTACAATGGAGACTATAGCTATGTTGAAAGATCTCAGGTGGTTGCTTGGATAGCGATCGAACAGACAGGAGAGGAAGGCTGGGACAACCATGCTATAGGGTGCGCTTCTGGAGTACCTCTGTGCGAGTGCTGTCGATGCAGTAGGGGTAAGCACATATCTGGCTTGTCGTGCTATTGTCTGTACTAGTTACGTTTCACTGGTCTTGGTGCTGGTTCCCTTTTGATGTTTAGATTAATTACTCCAGACACTTGTGTTTGAAGGCTCAGAGCCAATGCAATCGAAAAGTTGTGAAGCTTCAGTGCATGATGCATGGCTTCAAGCCTGGCGGTGGATCTTTGCACGATGTTTGGAGCCACGAAAAGCTTTCTAGCAGTCGCAGCAGCCCCAATATCTCACAAGACGGGGTCCTTCTTTGCGCTCGCTTTTGAAATCTTGGAGGCTCGAGCTCCTTCTTGGCCGATTTGGCGCGCTCTCCACCAGCTCTGGCCATGAAAGAGAAGGCCCAAAAGGCCAGGCTAGGGAGCACTACCTTAAGGACCCTAAACTATGGAAATCATTTTATAGTCCTCATTATGGGTAATACAAGCTGTCGGGTTTCAGGATGTTTCAGGCAGCCGGCTTCACGAAACGACTTCTTACAGCTATGTAGGCAGGCTATCGTGGATCTTGCCTTCTGCTCCTCCAAGCGTCTCAGTAGAATTCGGTATCCTTCGGCTCATACGATCAAGCAACCGAGCGCAGAAGCTTTGTCTCAAGACTTGAATGGTATCTCGGACACACAGCTGGCATTGTTTGCGTCCGTCTTGGCTGTGTAAGGGTTCTACTTGTCAAAGTCTGATGGGTTCGTAAAGCAGTGTGCACTTTTTTGTGCAGCTTAGGCGATCCTTGCCAGCACCCAAGCCAGCATGGATGAGGCCTGCATCGATGGGTATATATTCGGTGCGATTCCAAGTAAGTTATTGGATTCATCGCTTCATTGCGCTATGTGCCTGCCTATAAGCCGTCGAACTCGGTAATTGCAGTGTCAGGCAATGTTCGTTAATGAATTTGTTGCAAACAGCGTTTCTTTTGCGTCAGCATGGATGGTTGCCCCAACGGTTTTGGGCTAGGTTGTCGAGATAAGTTCCCACCGAGACTTGAACCTGCGGGCACGGCTTTGCAGAGCCGACTGCTGCATACGTAGCTTCTTCTTGTTGTTTTTCTTGCTGTCGTTGCTGCTGCTGCTGTTGTTGTTGGTGCTGCTACGGCACAGAGTTGGGATGGACCAGCCAAGAAACACTTGATGAGGGTTTAGGGTTTCGGGCACGGTATGCGATGTCAAGCGAGGGGCCTTAAACTGCAACATGCCAAACAGACCGGAAGCTTTTGTAGCAGAAACACTGCAGCGCAACGTCAATGGCAGCAAGAAGTAGACAGAAAGACCCTCGGGCACAGAGTTGCGAATTTCGATGTCTTCGCGAAGTAGGACAATTTATTTACACCCTCACAGACCTGAAGGTCCTTAGGCACCCGTGTCCGCGGTAGGGTCTTTGCGAAAAACTTGTCCCACAACTTATCTGCACCTTGAACTATCGACACCTCAGCCAGACAGTATACCTTTCCACAGCTCGCCGCAATGCCTGCGATTTTTCTCTGGAGTTTGGCAAACCGGAGGCCTGCAATCCAGAGTGCGCCCTGGACCACCATCACGAGTTCTTTGAGGCGATCACGAGGGCCCTTGTAGATTGTCATGGGTTTCAAGTTTCAAGCTTAAGTTTCGGCATGTGGCTTTCGTACACCGCCGATGTCTCACAGGTGTTGTTGGCGTCGGTGTAATGTCTACGCTAATGCTGTTGCTGCAGCAGCTGCTGCTACTGCTACTACTACGACGATGGCGACGACGACGACGACGACTGCTACCACTACATATTACCACGACGGCGACTACTACCGCTACCACTTCATATTACACGTACAACACTTGTACAATGCTGGCAGTCAGACTGGCAAGACCGACCTCGGTCTTGCCAGGCGAGTTTGGGAACATATATGAACGGCCCTGACTGCAGAGGCTTTTGCCGGATGCTATGCTCCTTCGGTGTGCGCAGCATCGGGGATGGGCGAAGTGAGCTTTCATCGATGCAGGACGGCAGTGTTTGATTGCGTCGGATACAGCAGTTCTCGGTTTGCGAAGGTCAAAGTGCTTAGTTTGGATTTGCTGCCGAGTTAACTCGCCTGGGGGTGTAAAGCTTAGAGATGTCGTGCTTGCGGTTGTGAGTACTTGAGTTCCTGGAGTCTGAGGCTAGGGCTGCAGGGTTTCAGGTTTTTAGGCTTTCTTCAGGGTACCCGGCAGTCGCAATAGGCCTGGATGCAAAAAAGGTAATGTGATGTCTTCATCCCACCGGTTAGCATTCAGGAGCCCCACCATCTTGACCACGCAGCTTTCAAAGTGTAAACTGCCATAGCTTAGCCTGCGGAAAAGTCTGGACTGCCAGTCGCATCGCTTGAGGGAGGGAAGCCAGGAGTCATTGAATTGGGCTTCCAGGCTAGTCTCTGACTCTTTCAGCAAAGAACTCAACAAGTTTCTCTAGCACATGATCTAGCTGTGCTTTGAAGACTAGTTCCCCAAGTCAACAAAGTCATAGGTCCTCCCTTCTGCTTGACAGCCCAGCACTTCATCATGCGCAGCTGGAGCGCGCTCATACCTTGCATCTTGCTTTGTACGGTATGCAACTTCGTAGTTTCTGCTGAAGCGGAAAAGCTTTGCAACCCATCCCAGACCCCGATGAAGCAAGGTCTCCTAGTGCTACGGAGCTTGTAGACCCACGACGGGTTTTTGCAGGAGCTCCCTTCAGACGTTCATGCTTAACGAGATGAAGTTCGAGGCGGAAAGGTCGAAGTCCTGTGGATATCCGGAGTTCAGGGGCGTTTCGGGCCAAAGTTAGCACAGCCGAATCATTAATTATACCGAGCAGACTGCGACACCGGCAGGAGCAAGTGCCCACTTGATTTGTGCAGGTGAGATGGACTTGCTTGCTATATCTTACGGTATTTTGTGCACACTTTCTGCTGGGATGCCTGGGCGCTTTCATACCCGGAGGTTGAACAGGCTATATAGATCATCAGGCTAGTACTTAGCAATCTCGGAAGCTGTGTGTGTGTGTGTCATTTCGTACTTATTCTGGTACTCCGCGAACGTCGTGGCCCCAAGACGTTCAAAGTTAGACCCAATAAGTACCCTAATTGGGGTTAGATGTAATTATAAGTATTGCGAACGGACTGCGATGCCTTGTCAAGTTCTAAGGTGTCACTATAAGAGCTGTGAGCAAGACCGTGTAAAGTGCAAGAGAAGGGGGCACGCTACGCGTCCCTCGACTCTAGGGGGCATGCTACGCATCCCTCATCTTTACCTTTCTATGTGACCGCCAACGCAACGTTTGGCTCAAGTCAATGCCCATAGCTAAGTGCTATATGTGTCTTCTATCCTGAGCAATCAGAGCTATCCCGTTGCACAGACGAACCGCCGCCGGCAGTGAGTGCAAAAGGAACGGCCGCCGGTTCTGCCTGCATAGGATTGCACGTGTGGGAGTAAGAGGGAGAGACAGGGTCCAGTCTGTGGAGAGTGCTAGCCAGCCACACCTACATTCATTACAGCTCTGGTGGGGAGAGCAGCAACCAAGTCGAGATCAATCCCCCACGCAGGTTATCAGCCGTACGCGGCTCTGCCTTTCTACAGCAACGACTACTTGATCTACTACGACCACAATGAACTCAGGATCAAGCCAAGATACGACAATGACTTTCGGTGCCGATGTGGCAGCGCCAGCCGTTGGTGAGTCAACAGCTGATGACACAGTGGTGCAATCCGTTGATAGCTCCACGGAAGATGACAAAGGTCAATCTTCTGCGCTTGCCATTGCAAAGGCAGTTCCCAAGGGGAAAGCAAAGAGTCTACCAAGAGCATCTACGCCTTCGCGTCCGACATCCACAGGTTCGAGGACGGGCAAGGCTTCAGAACGACGGGCCGAAGCGTCTGGTTTTCAGGCACCTCGGACTACGTCCAGGGCCAAGGACAAAGGAGTCAAGACCTTGGAAAAGAAGTCAAGGCCATCATCTTCGAGAAGCTCTTCAGCACGATCGAGGACCTCAGCCACTCGTGGGCGTGACAAATCCATGACGTGGAATCGGATGGTTACCAATCAACCACGCGATGCTGACGATCTGGATATGACTCTGGATACGATTCCTGCACGTGGTGATGCGTCGTCCGTGGCCACGCCTGCCATAGCTGATGGTCCGAACTATCAGGAGCTGACGATTTCGCAACAGTTTGAAGCATCGAACCTTGCACAGCAGATGTACTATCGCAGTCAGGTGCAAGAATACGAAGGAATCGTCCAGACCCTGATGGACAAGATCAAGGAGATGCAACAAGAAGATGAAGGATCTGGAATTCGCATTGAAGAATTGGAACGACAACGTGACCATGCATGCTTAGCCATGAGGCACATCAACAATGTCAATCAGGAGATGAAGCGAGACTATGAAACAGCTTTGTTTCGCATGGATGAACAGAACTCTGCTCAACAACGTCAAGCACATGCCGTTGCCGAGGAGTTAGCTCAACAGCTACACGTGTTCCGCACGGAGGCAGCCACCAACTTTGTGCAGTTGGAGGCAAGAGCGCAAGGCGATGGTGAGCTTATGGCACGTGAGTATGAGCGTCTGACTCATGAACTTCATGAACACGCCAGAGAGAACTTGGTCCTCCGGTCAAACACAGCAAGTTCGGAACAAGCCTTACAAGCAATGCAGGAACGATTCCACTTGGTCAAGAACCAGGAGTTGCGGGCTGTGAACGAGATCCAAGGGCTAGCTGGGAACAGCGCAGCCATTGATCAAGAACGTTTTCGGCTTCGCGAACGTCTTGGTGAAGAGGAAGAGTACCGCAAAATGGCTGTGAAGAGGATGCAAGAAGCAGAGGACCGACTTCATCAGAATGAAGATCATGCAAGGCGATCATTGCCTACCTTGCACGACGAGCTGAGTGAACTCAGGAAAACGCTCAAAGCACAAGAAGATCTTCAAGCGAGGACACGCAGCGAATTGGAGGCAGCGCGAAACTCCAATTATGGAGGAGCGACACGGCCTTCAAGCATGCCCATGTCTTCGAGGACTACTGAGTCTGGCTGGGAGCACGTAGGAAAGGAAGTAGTGCCTGCATTTTCCGTAGGAGGTGAGGTACGATCCCCTGAAATACGGTCCCCAAGTCAAGTTAGTCCAGTCGCCAAAGAGAAGTTCGCATTCTCGGAATCGGACAAGGACAAGAACCTTGTGATGGATGGAATTCCATTCACCGGTGGAAACTTCTTCACTGGCCGCAGTTCAATGCCAATTGTGGCGGATGCAATGCCCGAGCACTACGTGCCAGGTATTAGCAGCCCGGCAGCCGTGCGTGATCGACAGCTACGCGAACTCTTGGAGGATCGCGGGATGTTGGGATCGAAGTCCACAGCATCTGCCAGCTCCTCAAGACCTGTTGGTATCGACGGTGTGACCGCATCTACGAAGGGCAACGACCTCATCGGTCCCCCTATTGCCTATGACGATTCCATTCATGAAGCAAGGAGACGTCAGATCGAGAAAGAGGTCGCGGAACGGTACGAGGAGAAGATTGCCGATCTGCGAAGCGAAGTACTCAAGGCCCAGAAAGCCGAACAACGTCTCAGAGCTGATCGTGATGAGTGGAAGTTATTCGCTGAAACGATTCAGGAGGATAATGGAGACGATGACGGTGACGAGGCTGGCGACGAGAACGAAGATGGAGAGCACGATGAAGGAACCGGCACGGGGTATGACCCTCCTGACCCGCCTGACGATGATGATGATAAGAAGAAAAGCGGTGGAGGCAAACCTGAATCGGATCCTGGCTCGCATGCGCGTGATCCTGATGGAGACGCGGATCCTGAAGTCACAGAGGTGAGAATTTCCAGGAGGGAAGCCGACAAAGTGACTGTTCCTCCATGGCCTACTCTCACTCATCTCAACAACTGGCGATCCGTGTGCACGGCCAATGTCTTAGGAGCATCAGCCGACCCACATCATGAGGACTGGATGTTATGGCTGGCACCAGCGTTCAACCCATTCCCTGATGTCGAAGCATTGAATGATTCAGGACACAAGAAGTTCAAGAGCATAGACGTCAAATTGGGGATCGCCATGGTCGCAATGCTACGTGCCGGTGGTGACAAATCAGCTGACCTGTACCTTGAGGTGAACCGGAAGGCTAACGATTACATCAGCAGGCCTGACGGGAAGATCATCAAAGGACGACAAATCATTGCGATGATGTATGAAAGTTTTCGAACGCACGATCGTCTCGACATGATCATCACTCTTGAGTATTTGGTGAAGCTCCAGTACCAAGGCGACAACAAGCTTCATACGTTCAAGCAGACGTGGTTGGAAGTTCTGGGACGGATGAGACCAGAGGACATTCCATCCAAAACAGCTCTCCGTGATTGCTTGTACAGCAAGATCAAGGACTCGCCCGCAATGAAAATGGAGTTGGGTATGCATTACGAACACTTGCCCTACAATCATGAAGACCGATCGTACGACAACCTGATGAAGATCATTGATCGTACTATCATGCGGAGACGAGAACAGTCAAATCTCACTCAGACCCAAATTGGCTTGCGCCAGATGCTTGAGGGCAAGGATTTGCTTGCTGCACCGGCCAAGGTACCCGAGAAACCAACGCCTAACGCAGCTCCATCCGCAAAGGTCAAGGCTTCGCCGACCAAGCCGGATAAAGCAACACCTGTACTACCTCAAAGCAAAGCGAAGAGTCATGCGAAGACCAAGCCAAAGCCCAAGAAGAAGACGAGGAGTGAGTCAGCGGACAACAGAGGTGACAAAAGCAAGAAGCAAATCCGCTGCAAGTTCCATTTCACAGATGCAGGGTGTCGAAATGGCGATAAGTGTCCATTCAGTCACTCGAAGAAGACTCCAGAGCGACCCTTCACGCCGAGGACGAGAACTCCAAGTCCATCTGGAGGAGGAGGAAACAGGATATGCTACTCGTTCAAGAACACAGGCTCGTGCTCAAGAGAGAATTGTCCTTTCAAGCATGAGGCAGCAGC